GGACCCTCTCCTCTCCTCTAGCCCTTAATAAATAGGGAATGAGGAGAGGAGAGGTGAGGTCTTCAGGGCAGCACTCTCACTGGATGGCTGGGAGGAAGGACTTTAATCTGACCATCAGTCCAATTGAAAAGCCTACTTAAACCTAATTTTCTTCCTAAACATCTCATGTTTCGTGGGGCTATTCCTTTTTATAACTTGTGAGCCATATGATCATAGTATTTTAGAGGCCAAAGTCACTTTAGAGATCATTAAGCCAACTGAAGTTCAGAGAAGTTTGAGATTCCACAGGGGACATGAAAATGAGCAAGACCCAGTCCCTGCCCTTAAGCAGCTCAGTTTGGGGACAGACGCTGGGAAGGTTTTGAGATGCAGTTACAGGCGCTCCTGGAAGAGCATCTAATGTGGCTTCCTCAGGGCTGCTGCTGAGGGAGGGAGGGGACAATTCTGCAGGGGGACTGGAAATGTCCACAGAGATGTATTTGGATCAGGAAGGCCAGGAGGGGCCAAGAAGAGAGCAGGGGCTTTGGGGACCATGAGGGCTTGGGGTCTCGGATGGATACCCAGGCTGGAAAGGCAGGTAGAGCCCCAATTATCAAGAGCAGGCCTGCTACATTGGGAATAAGGGGTCATCAGAGTTTCTAAGCAGCAGAATGATTAGGGTGACAAAGCCATAGTACATGGAAAAGGTGGGTTAGAGGAGAGCTAGCAGAGACTGGGGGCCTGTTGATGGGACAGAGATAGGAAATGGCAGAGAGTGATGAAGGGGGGGATAGAGATGATAATGGGTTTGGTGGGACATGTTGGAATATCTGGGACACACAGAACCAGGACCCAAACACAAGTTCCTAACCTCAGTCCCGGGTATTTCCAATCTACCAGCCTCTTACAACAGCTGACATTTGAGCCTTTCTGTGCCAGGCACTGTCTAGGTACATATGTGCCCACCGCAGCTACCTGGCCCTGGGTAGGTAGTACCTTTGTCCTCATTTTACAGGTGAAGGAAAGGAGGCACAGAGAGGGCCAGGGACTCGCCCAAGGTCACACAGACAGCAAGAACAGAGCCAGGATTTGAGTCAGGCTTCCCAGATCTAGAGAACATGTTGATCACCACCACTTTGCTTTGCCTGTCACCTTCCTAACCTATTATTATTATTAGATTTTTGTATGTGTCTACAGGAATGGGAAGGAGAGGAGGAGAATAACAAGTGACAACTAAAAGATGAAATACAAATTAGTAACAGGACTGGCAGGTGTGGATTAAAAGGCAGAGAAGAGCCCCAGGACCTGTGTTTCTAGAGGAGACACTGTGAGCAAAATCTTGAGAATTAATGAAAGAAAGGAAGAGAGGGGCTGGGGGAGGCACGTGATCAAGAGCAGGATCAGCCCCTGCACTTGCGGGCCTGGGATATGCTTTTCTTTGGTCCTCAGCTCCGGGCCAGTTCTCTGGAGCAGGTAATTCTTTAGATGAGTGAGACTTTCGGTCTGAATCATGCTGCTAATTCCCAGCCCCACACTGGCAATGGGAAACTAGTTCTATATGTGTAGGACCCCACATCTCCCTTAGTGGGCAGCCAGAAGCCGGATAAACAGTCATTAGCACTCCGCTCAGCCCACGTTCATGGTCAGTGTCGCAGGCTGCAGTGCCGCGGGATCCTACTTCTGTTGACTGTAAAGAGAGCCACACTTTGAGAGGAGCTGTGCAGGCAAAGGCTTCCTTTGAGGGGAGATGGTGTGGGGCTTGGGCAGTGACTGGATGTAGCAGGGTGAGAGGATTATGGAAAGGTGACTCTGCTCCCTTATCTGAAGCAAGGGGACAGATCTTAGCTAAGTAGTGAGAGCCTTAAATCTCCTCTGGAAAAAGGGGCATAAAAGTTAACCAAAGAAGTGGGGTGTGCTCTTGGCAATACCTTCACATCACGCTAAGGATGCTGAGGGTATAATCTTGGCCCACCTCCTCCCTCTCTCCCTGAACTTTTCTTTTTTCATTCCTAAAAACCTGACAGCTCAGAACTTGGTCTTCAAGCTCCATGAGGAAGCTCTCGCCCCTCCCTTCCAAGAAGGCCTGTCAGACAAGGATGAAGCGTCATTACTTCACAAACCAAGAAAAAGAGCTCACGCTTTCCCGGCGAGTACTGACTCTGTGCCCAGCACTGTTCTGAGGGCTCTTCATATATTAAGTCATTTAATGCTCACCACCACCTCGGAGGCAATTCTGAGAAAAACAAGCAGGAGCCTATGCAAGCAGAGCGATGGGAGGGAAAGCTGGAGCAGATCTGAAAGACACAGAGCTGCCCTCCCCTGGAGTGAAACAGCCAGGCAGGGTCTTCAGTGACAGGCGGTTGGGAAAGGGGCCCCAGGAAGCGAAACACGAGGCTAAAGGCAAATGGCACTGAAGGTTCTGGAGAAGAAACCCATGTTAAGGGATTAAAGCCTTTTTAAAAACCATTTACATCTGCCTTCCTATCACCAGGTAAGCAGTGAAATGGGCCTAATCCTTCTGAGAGAGAACAGCCCCCTAACCATACCATTTACCAAGGTGGCCAAAATCTGCTGAGAAACCCTTTCTGCCTAAACCCACCTCCCTTCCTGTGCCATGGCCAAACCTCGGCCTGCACACCTTCTCCCGTGGGCCCTCAGCAGGGCAGAGGCAGGCGAGGCTCCTCTGGAAGGGCAGCAGCGGGAGCTTTGGAGGCCTGAGCCCAGCGTGCAGGGTCACATGACCCGCAGGGCTTCTCCCTAAGCTCGGTGCCCAGTAAGCAGTAAGGTCTGTGTAACAGCTGGTGATTGGACGAGGGGCATTAGAGTGGGCAAGGGCAGCACGCCTCGGGGAGCCGACGGCTGCTGCGAGAGGGAGGCCAGAGGCCAGTGGAGCCAGCAGCTGAACAGGTGGGGCAGGAGGCAGCGGCCATTCTCTTGGAGCGCAGGGACCAGGAGACGCAGACGGCTCCCTAGGCCAAGAGCCTTCAGGGCGGCTGAGGGCAGGACAGCCCACTCAGGGCGCTTCATGCCCTTCTATTCCAAGGACAGTTTTACCTCGATATCCCACACCAGTGTTTTTCCTTTTCAATTCCTAGACTTATTTCAATCCCCAATACCCCCAAAAGGAGGTAAACAGGCAAAGATTGGGGGGAAGCGATGGGCTGACATTAATTGATAGGAGCAGCTTCAAGCAGTTCATGCTGCCTTATCTCTCTCTCCTTTGGATAGCGTGTGTCCGCCGGAGTCCGCGGGGTCGGTGATTAATAGGGGCCATCACTCACTGTCCAGGACGGCTGAAAGGCAGCAGGGAGGGGGCGGCCCTCCCCAGAACTGAGATAACAAGCAGCAGGAATAATGAGTGGTGTCACTCCACTTTTCATTTTGATGGAAAGTCATTACGGGAGTCAACGCCAGCGACAAAGAGCCATGAATCAACTGCTCTGCTATGAAATTAAAATCGAATTGCCGGCCATCCCCAACCCCTACCCTTCCTGGGAAAGAGATGGGTAGGTGGCTTGGGAGACGGGTGCTATCTTGGGGTGGGCTCTACCCAATCACAGAGCAGGCAGTTACGGGTAGGAAGTGAACAGGCAGCTAGTGAAGGTGACAACTCCTGTCTCCACCTTGTTCATCAGACCTTCCTCCCCAAACCGCATTTCCCCTCTGCCTGGAGGTAAGCTGTGATTAAAAGGAAAATACAGCTTTGCTGGCTCCAACAAGGCTGCCACTTGACTGCTTCTCTTGGGCTTCTGGCCTGAGTAGGGCAGGCTGGGCCTGGCTGAGAGAAAGGGGCCCAACTGACTCAGTTACCCCAGAGCCCCTTGCTGAACCATTTGTAGATACTAATCTGGGCCCTCCCTGTCACCAAGAGGAAAAATCCCTAACCTGGGCCTCCACAGGAACAGCTGACGGGACAGGGAGCCCAGAGGGATCAAGAACCCCATGCAAACAGGTTGCAGCCCCAATTCCAGGCCTAGAAAAGCAGTAACTGTCAGAAATAAAGCCAGAGTCTCTTCCTCTTTTATTAAGTCCAACTAGATTAACGAGAAGGAGAAGCTATGGCTTCCAGCTGACAGGCCACAGGCTAATCAAGACAGCTTCCTGCAGCGTAAACAGTGAGTGCCAAGGTCACCATCTGGGTGACCACATGGCTTTCCATCCTCCAGGTGGCCTGGCTCTTGCCGGGAAAGGCCCCACAACATCAGTCCTGGCTGTCCCACCTCCATCCTGAGGCTGAGAAGACGGGCAGGAAGAGTGTGGAGGGCGTCACAGAGAGGTTCCCATCAGGTTCACAGGGCGCCCGTTGTACCTCTTGGATATGTCAGCTTCAATCTGAAAGAGAGCAATACCAGGTGGGCAGAAAACAGAGGGGCCTCATTCTGCAGAAACTGGGGGTCTTCCCCTTGGTGGGCTTCCCTTTCCTGTCTTACCAGCTTCTGCAGCTCCTTGGTCTTCTCTAGCAGCAGGTCCAGCTTGGGCTCCAGAGCTGCCTGCTCCTGAAGTGCTTCCTCCTGCTTCTGCACCATCAACTCTTTCTTCAGAGCCAGCAGCTGGGACTGCTTCAGCTTTTGCTGGAGGAACTCGGTCACTCTGTCCACGTACCTGGGCAGGGCATTCAGATAAGTGGTGTAGCCGTGCAACCTGAGCATTCCCGTTCAACTGCTGGGAAAGGTGCGGCTCAGGAAACCAAATCCCTAATTGGCCTCATCCTCCCACCCATTTTTGTAAGAACTCCTGGTTCCTCTGTCCTCCTGGGAAGCAGGTTCTGCCTCCATACATCAAACCACCCCATCTTGCCCCACAGAGATCTGTATCCCCAGTTTGGATGGTGCCCCCAATTATGGAAGGTAGGAATTACATCTAAGGGGTCACGGAGAAGGATACAAGGGGTCAGGGCTGCTCCAGATGGCGGAACCTTGCTCAGATGCCCCAACAGCCCAATGTCAAGGGGAAAGCCAGACCTTGGTGAGGCCAGGATCATAAACAGGTGTTGCATTCGAAGACTGGTGAGCCGGCCAATCAAGTCCTGCAGCACCGACACCATGGTAAGCATCTTCTCTTTGGTCTGGCCCTGCAGGATGGCTGGAGCCAGCTGGAACTGGCTCACAGACAGGATGTCTGCCTCCTCACTCATCTCCACCGCTCTCTGGGACAAGAAGATCTCGAGCTGAGGACCAAAGAGGATTTGGTTCAAACCGAGAAGAGAACTCTGAGGTTAAGCCCTTCGACTGCCCAAAATGAAGAATGAGATGTAAGGGTTAAACTCTGGGGGAGGAGGGGTTCTTTCCTCTGACTACTTTCACTGCCAGAAACTCACCAGCTACAGAGCTTGGGGCAACCTCCGCTGTCACTCTTCGTCTCCCTGCTCTATCTCAGGCCCTACCTAGCCCCAGACGCCCACTTCGGCCTGGCCTGTGGATCAGATAACTAAATGCAGAGATTCAAAGGGTTCTCTCAGCCCCAGTGAAAGCATTTTCTCTCTATGGGAGGAATGAGATTGGAGCAGAGAAATCCCTGTTTGAGAAGCGCTGGAATAAGAAAGGAAGCTGAGAACCTTGTCTCTCACTCAGCCTTGGAAAAGCAATCCCTTTTATCATCCTGTCCTGTGGCAGCCCTCCCCCACCAGCAGACCACTGGGAAGGGGGCAGGCCCCCAGCTTCCCAGGCCCCCAGCTTCCCAGTCCCACAAAGAAGGTCCAAGAACACTGGCTGCTTACTCTGGGCTGCTCATACCTTAGCCACAGGGATAGCATTAAAACACAAGTGAGATCATGTGGCTCCAAACTTGCTCAAAGCCTCTAACAGCTTCTTGGTTCATTCAGAGTAAAAGCCAACGTTCAGACTCTTTCCTCTCTGATCTCCTTCACTTCCCCCCTCACTCCCAGCCCTGCCGCAATGGCCTCCTTGTGCATCAAATGTGCAAGGCACACTCCCATCTCAGGGCCTTTCGAATTGCTTCCTCTGCCTGGAAAGCCTTTTGGCCAGACTTTGGCATGGCTCTCTCTGCACCCCTGCAGGTCTAGACCTTATTGGCCACCTTCACAAAGAGGCCTTCCCTGATCACCCAATATAAAGCCCAGCAGCGCAAGAATCCCCATCTCCCTCCCAGCTTTCTTTTCCTTCCTGGCATTTATGTTAACACCTAACATACTGCATATTTTACTTTATTTATCTAGTTTCTTGTCTGCATTCTCCTCTAGAACATAAGCTCCGGGAGGTCAAGGACTTAACTATCTTATTCCCTGCTCAATATCTGGCACCTCAGGCAGTGCCAGGGGCTTAGAAAATGAATGGTAAATACTTGTTGAATGAATATGTGATGCCTCTGGTTCAGAGCAAGCAGACCTTTGGCATCCTTCACAGAAACAGGAAGAGTCAGGTCAGGTGTCTGGAGCAATGCCACCTCTGCTGGTGCCAGGCCACCCCACACCTCTCCCAAAGGTTGAAGGTACCTCCATGAGCTCATCAATGAACTGATTCCGGGTGTCAGGATATTCAAGAAGTGTCAGGGCATCTGAGCCCCTAGCAACACCTTCCGGAGCTGCCAGGAATAGAGACAGAGAAATGATGAAGGAGCTGAGGACCACAGAAGGACACCCCCCTCCCCAAGTTTGAGACGCCCTGTGGATTAATATGGACATGGACTCACTGAACTAAAGCCACTTCCTATTATAACCCAAGGGGGAAAGGTTACCCATTCCCACGTCTCAGCCCTAATCAGGCTCTACTGGCAAACCCCAGCCTGTGAGGAGGACCAGAGCTGGGTTCCTAGGAGTGGAAAAGGGAGCTGTTTGCTCTGATGAGTGGCAGGAGGTGAAGTTTCATCCTGCACTGCCCTCTAGTGGCTCAGATCACTGCTACAGCCTCTCAGCTGGTGGGGTAGGGGGTCAGGTCAGACTTCAGAGCCTCTCAGCACTCCTGGAACCCCCTCACCAGAACGGCTGACTCACATTCATCTCCTAAAAGCTGAGAGTGTCTAGACTTAATTTTAAGGACTCTCTTTGTCCCCCTGCACTCACAGCCTCATCAAGATTTTCAGAAAACAGTTAAATATGTGAAAAGCCAAACCTGAGCAATGCATTTTTTCTTTTGTTTCTAGAGACACTGGGGCCTTTGGGCAGGGGGTGATGCACTCACCCTCGGTTCCAGCTTCCACCACTGTGATCTGCAAAGCAGCAGCATCATCTCCCCAGTCTATCCCATCACCTCCAGTTTCCTGGGTGGAGAGCAAAGAACCCCAGGAATGTTGGCAGAATTTTCCCCAGCAAAGGGAACCAGGATAAACCAAAGCCCTCGATAAGTTCAACGACTACATATTTCAACTGCATAAAGAACGTGCAGCCCTGAGGTAGGTGGCAAAGGTGGCAGTGTGGGGCCATGTATGTTGCCACCCTCACCCCTCCTTTCTAGAGTTACCACCTGCTGACACCCCCACACCTTGCCCCAAACAGCAGGAGAAAGAGGTAAAGACTCTGATACGTCACTTTGGAAACTGTCTCCCCCTGGACTACACCTGATCTGAGAGCTATGAACTTCCACTGATGCCTTTAAAGGCACAGACAATACTTTTCTTCTCACTGAAGCAGTAATCATAGGAAGCCCCAGAGATGGACTGCAAGGGCATCCTAACCTTTGAATCCGATTCCAGGGAGATGCCCCAGTCAATTCCAGCAGCCTGGGCAGAGATGCCAGAGTCAGTCCCTTCAGAAGCCACCTCCACTCCAAAGTCGCCCCAGTCAATCTAGTATGAGAAAAAAGGAGTTAGCTCACAAAGGTGGGTGATAAAAGGGGCCTGCCTTCCCAAAGGCCTCGGCCGCTTCTGTAGGGAGCACTAGCACATTCTTTAAACAGTGGCCTCCAAGCTCCCCAGGGGAAAGCCCATCTCGGAGAGCTTGTGGGAATGAAGGGTTCCCAGTTCAAAGCCAACCAGCTTGCTGAGGCTCCCCAGCACTCGTCTATACTCTGATCTCAAGGGGGCCAGAAAAATAAAGGAGTAGGGCTTCTGGGCCCTTCCACTACAGTCTCTCTTACACAAATGCCCCTCTCTCCCTCTGGGGCTCTGAATTCAGGTGGCGAGGGGTTGGGCTGTGCGTGTGCGTAGGTGGTCAGGGAAGCAGCTCTCCCTCCGCCTGTCTTACCGCGTCTTCCTCCACCTGCTCAGGAGGCTCCTCGAGGTGCGGCCGCTCCACCACGGAGGGCTCTGCTCCCGTCCTCCACTCGTACACCGTGGAGTTGCCCCGCTTCTGCACAAATCGCAGCATGGGCAACACCTGCTCTTCGGGGCTGCAACAGAGCACATAACTGACCCTCCCGCTGCCCACTCATGAAACCAACAGTGGGCTTTGGCCTGGGCCATAAGGTCAGATGGGCAAAGCTCCCATGGGTTTAAGTGTGTAAAATAAAACTCAGGTGTCACGTGGGAGAAATACAAGTGGAGAGGAGAGAACAGCCAGGGAAAATAGGCAAATTCCCCCTGCTAGAGAGAAGCCAAGGTCCTCTTTACCTTTCACACACGAACCCTACACAGGCCTGGTACAGGTCAATGGCTTCCCCCAGGGACTGAGCCCCAGCTCCAATCTCCGCCAGCTGACCCGGCAGCTCCTTCACCAGGGCCAGCAGTTCTCTTCGGACATTGTCTCCCTAGAGAGGATCGAAGAAGTGGGCTAAGGCAGAGTGATGGGAAGTGGAGTCCAACAGATTAAAGAAAACATGTGAAGATGAGACAGAAGAGAAACTGGCTCCAAAAGGGCACCAGCAGGCAGAGAAGGCAGACTTCCCCAGATGCAAAGGTGCTGGGCCCAGGAGACAGAGGCCCCAGGTGCCCTCCCACTTCAGAAAGACCCCTCCCGCTCACCGTGATGCCATACTGCTTGCACGAGTGGTAGAACTGCTCCCTCTTCTCGGCAGCCCCCGCATGGCCCTCCTCCTCCTTGCGGCTATATTCTTGCTGCAGCTGCTGGCACTTGGCGATCTGCTTCTTCAGCGAGGGGATCTCATAGGTGACGTTCCGAACGAGGAGGCTAGAGAGTTCCACTGAGAAGGGCCCAGGAAATGCGCCTCAGACACCCACACCAGAAGGCAAGCATGCCCCAGGACATGCGCGCACATACCCTACCTTGGTGGGGAAGGGCATGGGTGGCCTCCCAGCTCCCCCCCTTCCTAGCTGTGGAACCTGACAGTGATTTAACCTCTCTAATCCAATTCTCATCCCTATCGCAGGGAAAGTAATATCTGCCATAAGGATTAAAAGAGGGAATCCATATAAAACAACAAGCGTTAATTCCTTGTATTTAGTAAGTGCTTAGTAAATATTAGCTGTTATTGTTTATACTATTAGAAAACACTCCGAAACTACTATCAGCCCTTCAACTACTCTCTCAGGAACCAGATATGGCCCCAAGGATGATCCATGCCTCTTCTGCCTAGTATAGAACAGGGGTGTGGAAGGAATGGGGATCTGCATTCCACTTTATCAAGAGGTCAGTGGTAGAGAACTCACATATACCTGCTGGGTCAGGCCCAGCAACTACCTGCATCCCTGTCTGGTCCTCTGCCTCCTCCCAACACTGTGGAATTTATTTTCCCACCTTGCAGACTTCTACAGCCCAACCTCTTCCCCCACATGGTCTGTGCCTCCTAGAAGCTTAGTGTCTCAGAACTGTGGGAGTGGGCTTCCCCAGTGGCACTTTGGACACCCAGATGCCCAGGCTGGGCTACTTTACCTAGGTAGCTGTTGTCCTTCTCATACAGTGCTACGATCTCCTGCCAATCCTGAGGAAGAACAGAAACAGCAAGTGAGCCAGAACAGCACTCAGCAGTCACATCCCAGCTCAATCCCGGAACAGGGCAAGCTCTCCCAGCCTTTGCATCACATCAAACACAAATTCCTGTCCTCCTTTGTAACACTGGCTGGGCCACCCACTTTTTTAAGAGTGTGGCGCCAATGAGCAATCCCCAAAGGAGCAGGTCTGAAATGTAAACCTGGGGTAGGAGCTACTTTTGGCATAAACTATGGGGACGAAGAGAAAGTTCAGGAAACATTCCATTTAGGCGTCTCCACCGGATCCTCTGAGAGACCAGTGAGGCTCTGATCCTATTACCACCCTCGCCCACACTTGCCTTCATTCGCTGTGAAGAGTACCGGCCAAAAATATTTTTTGTGGAAGCTTCCGTGCCTTTGAGAAGGTCCACAATTCTTAGGCAGTGGAAGTAGTGAATGTCTGCAAAGCAAGGGAGAGCAAAGACTTTGAGAATTCCAGTGTCTCCCCCTTCTACTCTGGCCAATGCACATAGCTGACTCATATACGTGCCAGTAATTTTAGCATGCACAGTTCTCCCCTTCATCAGTTTGTGTTGGAAGAAACCAGCATCTATACCCCAAACAAAATCTTCCTCTGGGGATCAGCCCTGTGGCTAAACAACAGAGGAGCAGCTCAGCTGTTATATATAGCTCCAGGAAAAGAGAGGACTCCAGGAATGTAGCCCCCCAAAGCACTCACAGGATCCAGAGAGCAGCTGGGCAATCTCTTCACTTTCTGGCATGTCCTGGATAGCAGCATTGATCTTCTCTCGGATCGTCAACACCAGACTCTGCCATTTCAGGTTGCAGTGCCTTCTGTCCACCAGCCAGTCTATGTGAGAAACATCCAAATCACAGAGTTCCCATTCACACAGTCAAAATTCTGTCACTAATTCAAGTGAAATATGCTAAAACAGTGGCTAAAAGTTGTATTCACACTGGTTAAGGTGTGTGTGGGGGGTCATGGGAAGGTGGACATGAAGACAGGCCCAAAGAGATGCTTGGGGCTAAACAGACTTTGGCAACATGACTTCTAGAGCAACTGCCTCAACACGGGGATAAAGAAAAACTTTAAATTGATCCTGACATCAAAGTGCCACTTTTGACCACTCTAAATTCTCCATAATATTTTTGCTTCCAGGGGTAATTATAACTTTCCTGACAGAGGATGATATTCAACTTCCACTTCCTCAGGGCTGGGATTAACCATGACAATGGAAAATACAAGACAGTTATGCCAAGTGCTAGATGAATGAACAACTGCAAAGCCCCTAATACCTACAGCGCCCTAAAGACGACATAACACTGGTCTATTCTTACCAGGGAAGTACCACCCTGGACACGTGCATACCAATGTGAATGACCTCCTGGAATCTGGGCCTAGATTTATGTTTTTATTAAAGGGTATGGATGGCTGCAAGCCATGCATGTTTCATCAGTAGGAGAGAGCTAAGAGCTAGGCTTTGTGGGCCAGATGGTCCTGGCTTCTAATTATCAACTTTCTTGGGCAAGTCTTTCAACCTCTGTGCCTCAGTTTCCCCAAATGTAAAATGGTGATAATGGGATACTGAGTATAAGGGATAAGGTAGGTAAAACATTGAACACTGCCTGGCACATGCCAAGGACTCAATAAATCTTAGTGATCTTCATCTTTACAATGTCAAGTACCTAAAAACGCACTTGGTAAAGAGCAAACCCTCAATGAATGCATGATTGTTGTTTTATTGGTCCTTTTCATGACCAATAACAAGTCCATATACCAAGAGTGCACATTTGCTAAACAGCTGAGACAAATCTAAAATGAAGCTCCACTAAGTGGCCACTGCACAGGGCTGACTAAATGGCCCACAGTGGTCAATTCAGAACCTGCCCTGGTTAATAAATCTGTCAACTGGTCAAACACTACAGCCTCACAGTTGTTATCATTATACTCCCTCTGCTGTATTCCTTTAAAATTTTCAGAAAGAAAAATTCTGTGGATGTCACAGATCTAGAAGCAAAGGCATGAGGTAGTCAAACAGGTATCTTAACAAAACCAGCATCAAATCAATTAATCCAATGAGCATTTAAAAACCCAGCTGTGCACTGGCCCTGGAGGGGTCAGAATAACGAGATCCTCCCCTTGGCCCTGAAATGGGGAGGAGGTATGCAGGTCAGACAGACATCGGAGATGGCCCAGTCACTAACAGGTCTTTATTTCCAAATGGGTCTGTGTCCTCTTCCTAAAATCTAGGGAAGATGGAAGCTTTTAAAAAGAAAAAGTGAGTTTTTTCCAGCTTAATACAAAAAGCATAGATGTTAGAGCCTGACATACTTCAGTTCCAATTTCGGATCTGCCACTTAGTTATGACTGTCTTTAAAGTAAGCCATTACCCTCTCTGTGCCTGAATGATATGATCTGACAACACATATTATAAATGTTAAAGAAGAAAACGCAGGTCAAGTACAGACAATGTATAGTTCCTTCCCGCTCCTGTTAGCGAGGCGGGTCAGGCCACAGATCAGGTCACAGAGCGTGGCGAGTGGTCGGCGATTTAACAGGGGCCTTGGGGTGTCAGGGCTCCCAGCTGTTGGCGACAGGGGGCAAGGGGCTGGGACTCCCCCTGAAAGCTGGCTGCGCGGGGACGCTCCGTCCTACCGAGCAGCTTGCTGGTCTGGATGTCGATGGGCACGTGCTGATGATCCTGGCGGGAAACACAACAAACAGTGGGGCGTGAGCGCGGGGCAGGGGCGTGCCACCCGCGCGCTCATTTCACCGGCACCCGGCCACCCTGCGGAGCCAGAGCGAGGAGCCAGGGAGGGTTGCGCCGGCCCGAGAGGGTGGCCAAGGACGCGGGTGAGGGACAGATAGAGTGAACCCAATCCAAGGGTCCCGGGATAGCCCCCCATTTCCTCAGCGCCTGTTTCCCCACCTGCATCTTTCCTCCACTTCTGCTTCCGGCCGCCGACGCAGCCCGCCCCGCCTACCACCAATCCAGAGCCCGGGTGGCGGAGCTTCAATTTAGGCCCCAACCGGCCTCCTCCGGCCACGTCGCCGCTTTCCTCAGAGCCAATCGGGGCGCTCGCTCCACCCCTGGCAGCAAGCCCCACCCACCCCGGGGCTCCGAATGGCTGAGACCGGGAGGGGAGGGAGTACAGGAGCCAGCCAATGGGAGGTGTGAGGCGGGCTCAGGACCGGGGAGGGGCGGGGCGCCAAGAAAGAACTGCAGTGGCGGCGCGATCGCGGAAGGCGGCGCCCGAGAGCTGGTCGCAGCTGCGCAGAGCCCTGCGGGCGGCGATTAACGCGCCTGCAGGCTAACTGGAGCCGTTAGACAAGCCTTTCCCGCCTTGGGACGTTTTACTGTTTCTCGTAGTTTGCAGGTTTCTTGTGACACTTGTCACACTTTGCCTTTCCATTCAGTTTATCTAATAGACATGTGTTGAGCACCTGCTCCTTGTTAATTAGGGCAGGGAAGGAAAGGAAAGAGGGTGAAGGGAAGCATCGCAAACATAACATTAAATTGATTCTTAAAGGCAGAGCTGCAGAAAGAGGGTGGTCCGTGGAGGGGTGTTTCGGGCGGAGGAGACTGTACAGACAAAGCTTTGGAAGCCACAAAGTGAAAGAGGGGTTTAGGGAACAACAGGCAGCAGAATGGGCAACGTAATTGGTGGGATCCAATGCAAAACGAAAACACAGGGCCCTTGCCCTGGCCCGTGTGGCTCAGTTGGTTCGGCGTCCTCCCTTGGCGGAAAGATTGCTGGCTCGATTCCCTGTCAGGGTACATGCCCAGGTTTCCAGCTCGGCTCCCAGCAGGGGGCTTGCAGGAGGCCGCCAATGGATGTTCCACTCTCACACCGATGTTTCTCTCTCCCTCTCTTCCTCTCTCTCTAAAAATCAATTTTAAAACATCTTTAAAAAAAAAAAAAAGTGCAGGGCCCTTGCAGAAATTCAGACCTGACCTGGGAGAAAGGCATGAGGAGGAGCAGCCAGAGGGCTGGATTTGAGAATATTGTGGAGGAAAATAAACAGGATTTAGCAATTGATTGGCTGTGTGTTGTGGGGTCGGGATGGGACTACAAGGATAACACCTACATGGTTGAATGGAGGAGCCACCCCCTGAGACAGGGGTGCAAGAGGGTATCTCAGCATTGGGGTTGGTGGTCCTGGGAGTGTGCAGGAGGCACTAGGGCCTATAGCTCTAGAGTTCAGAGGAGCCATGGGGCTGGGGAATACAGCTCTGGAGAGCCATGGGCTGACTTATCTGTGGTCCTGGTGGTGGCTGAAGTTGCGGAAGGGTATGAGATTCGGCAAGAAGTGGGTAGAGTGAGGAGAGAAGATGGGCTGAGAACAGATCCCTGGCATCTCACAGGGCTGGGTGTGCCATTTTACGCCCCTCTCCTTCCAGGTTGTTAGCTCCTCCAGGAGGCTCTGCCTGGTTCTTTCTAAATGGCCCCCACCTCCACCTCAGCGCAGCACTTGTGGCTCAGTAAATTTTTTATTAAACTGTGTGGTGTGATACAACAGTGAGAAGATCTAGATTCCTGCCCAGTGAGATCTTGGACCATTTCCATAACCTCTCTGCCAGCCAGTTTCCTCAACATGGAGATAGCGCCTATCCTGACTATCTCAGGGTATTTCTGTTTAAACGCTTAAATAAATAAACATACTAGATGTATATAACTCTTAATAGTTTACAACATGCTTTAATATAGTTTCTCATGCTTTGTAAACTCTGTGTGTGTGTGTGTGTGTGTGTGTGTGTGTGTGTGTGTGGTAATCATTATTATAGCATGAGTTGAAAGACTTCCCTGAAAATGGCTCAGAGGGCAGAACTAAGAACCTCTTTAGGGCTCTCTTATGGGAATTTGCTTCCCATCTCAGAGTCCTGACTCAGGCTATAGGAATTGCTGGGGCTCCCCCATGATTAAACAAACACTTACTGGGCTGCAACTATGTGTTCTTGGCTCCCTGGGACATCCCAGGAAGCATGGCCCTGCCCCACCCTCAAGGTGCATCTCTTCCCCTAGAATAAGCAGGCGGGGCAGAGCAGGGTGGGGAGAGTCTGGAAGGCCCAGCCCTGGTGACTTGGTGGAGATAGAGACCACTGGCACTTCACCCCACCTTCAGCTCCCAGGGTGACTCATGTGGGACAGAAGGATGTTTGAGGACAGTCCTACCTAGCTGCTGTCCTCAGGGTGGCTGCTCCAGAGAGCACAGGAGTGTGGGCTTTGGAAAGCATTCTGTACTGTTCCTCCTTTTCCAAGGCCATAGTGAACTTCAGGGCCTATGGGCAGATGAGCACATAAGTGGTCTGGCATCCAAGGCATCGAGGTCCTTGGGGTTTCCAACATCTGGAAAGTGGCAGAGAGAGGAGTGGGATGCTTCTGATTGTGAATCTCTCATTTTTCTGCTGATTTAGCAGGCAGGACACTGTCAGGGGAGGGGGTAGTGAGAAGCACATGTAGGGAGGTGGGGAGGACACTGTAAGCCTGGGCCGGCTTTGGACGGGAGAGCGGGTACCCTCAGGGTGCTATGTATGCAGGCTGCCTTCCATCCTTTGTTGTTGTTGTTGTCAGTTTGCTTATTAAGTGATAACCATGTGCCCCAGGCCAGTGTAGATCTAGATGTTTTACAAGTCTTATCTAATTTGATCCAACAACCTTGTATTGTGGATACTATTATTGGCCAGATTTTAAAGGCAAGGGAGCCAAGGCTTAGATAAGTAACTTGTCCAAGATCATACAGCTGGTGGGGCTGGGATTCAACCCCAGGCCTGTCTAGATCCCCAGCCTGCATTTTCCTTCTCTAGGATGTGGCTTCTCCTGCAGCTCTGCCTGCCCCCTCCTGCAGCTCAGCCACCACTGCCCCAGGTCGCTTCCTCCCTCCTCTTCAGTTCTGACTCCCACTTTCTCCCCAGTTGTTGTGCCAAACAGTCAGAACCCCACCCTGCAGTCCCTGCCCCTTTCCAAAGTTTTTCCTTACCACACCCCATCCTGGGCAAGAATGCCCATTACTTACCTTGCTTCAATATCCATAAAAAGAAGGCTTACCTTTGACATTCAAGTAATCCATTTTTTAATCTGCAGTACAGTTATTACTTTATGGTTTATTGTTTCTGTGTGTTTGCTCACAGCCACATTGACTCTGTGTGTGTGTGTGTGTGTGTGTGTGTGTGTGTGTGTGTGTGTG